GTTAGAGATTAAAAATGAGATTAACGCGGTCAAAAAACATAGCGTGTTAAATATGACTGAAATTAATTATTCGCAGGGTCCAAAACTAACACTCGCCACTCGCCAATTACGGGTAGATTTTGTCTCTGGCTGGTAAATTTTTAAGACCACTCGCCACTCTGGCGAGTTATTTTTTTACCAGCAAAAAATGCATTTTTTGTTACTGGAGAACGATGCTGGTATCGGCTGGTTTCCTGGCAGAGTAATGTTTATTTCAGGCAGAGACGATCTTTGGTCACGTAAGTGCGTCAGTCATAATGTTGACACAGCGTGCCGAGGTGGATAGCTGTTGTTAGGCTCGTTGGCGAGGCGTAGCTGTGAGGCTAGCGTAGTGTTAGCTGCAGCATGACCGGAGGGAAATACAGCCAGTTAGCCTCCGCTAGCTTCCCAGCTAGCCCCGGCTCTCTGTTTGGATCCAACCAGAGCACCGAGCCCTGATTTGTTATTCAGGTTAATGTGGGAAGAAGCAGCGGGTTTGTTGGGCAGCTGAGTGAAGCTGAGTGAAGTGGAGCCTGCGGAGGAAACACCGGGACCGTCTGGATGTAATAGTCCGTGGAGGTGCTGTGGTGCTCGGCTGCACAGATAGGAAACCCCTCGGCTGACAGCATGTACCACTCTCTCACTCTGCTACTTTGTTAATAGGCTCGTTCGAGATGAACTGCGCCTCGCCTGCAAAGTAGACGAGAGCAGGCGGCCGCAGCGGGGGGCGGTGACCAAAAGCTGCGGTGAAGTCGGACAATTTCCCAACAGTTTCCAGCAGCCTTCAGTCCGTACAGGAAGTCACAGACACACTTACATCCTGTCTGGAATGATGTCAATTCATTAAAAGAGTGATCAGACTCATATATCAGTTTGTTTTCAGTCTCCAGTTGTTTTAATTATGATAGATTAATTTATTAAAATGCTTTACAGGTGATCTGTAGTTTATGTTTATGGTTCAACCTCCATTTGATATGAACTCTCCTGTAAATCAGCATCATATCAGTTTGACCTGTCCCCTCAACTACACAGGCTGAATAAACTGTGTTTGACTATAAGGTTCATATTTTCAGAGGAAGAAAATACACAAGACAACAGCTTTCATTAAAGATCAGTCAGATACAGTCAGGGCTTCACATCTGTACAGATGTTATTATAAGAATCCTCACATCCCACTGACCACAAGTCTCTGTGTTGCTAAATACTTCAATAATTAAACCATCGAATATTAATATAGTACAGTAGACTCTGTATACTTTATGATGAATGTATTCAGTCTCTGACAACTAAACTTCACCATCAGTCACACAACATGTTTTCTGTTACAGAATAATACTTCAAATCAGACAAATACAATCTTAATCTCTAAAATTCAACAAAAATAAAAAGTTTATCTAAAAAATCATCTTGTTGAGTCGAAAACTAAACAAATCAGCTGTTAGATCAGGTGAGAGCCAGGCAGTGCAGTCGGTGGAGAGCAACTGCAGCACCTGGCTCTAAAAACTGCGGCCGCCTTGCTTTGGCGGTTTTATCGCCGTTCACTTTTGTAATACGTCAGAGCAAGCTGGGATGAAGTCGGACACAAAACTAACCAGCATGCATTGTGCACCAATCACCGGTGATCGAATCTGCGCAGGCCTTAAGTGACTTGACTTTTTTTCCTTTAAATTATTAATTATTTGGTTGGCTGGTAAAATATCTGCCTGGCTGGTAAAAAATTTCACTTACCAGCCAGCCTGGCTGGTAAGTGAAAAAGTTAGTTTTGGACCCTGATTATTCGAAATTAACACGTTAATTTGACACCCCTAAACATAACTGTCTCAAATCTTCACCTACTGTAAGTACTGTTGATGTGACAATTTATGAATATTTTTGCCTTTTTGTGTGGTTCATTCATGATGAGTCTTAGTGACAATAGCTTAACACCAAATGCTCAAACAGCAGTTATAGAAAAGCAGTTTTACCACCTAACAGTTGTATGCCTCCACAAACCTGTCAAGTTTCTCTTACACTTTACATCTGTCTGTGAAAATACGGATACTTCACACACGTCTTCAACCCAGCAGCACAGAATATCTATACAGTCAGCACAGTTTCAAGGTGAACACCCAAGATTAGTGTCACCAGTTCAGTACCAACCAAATGTCTCTCCGTCTGTTCCTGAGTTATGATGTTGAGTAACGGCCAGAAAACTGTGTTATGCAGAATATTATGATGTCACAATGAAGCTGACCTTTGACCTTTTGGATATAAAACATCATCACTTCATTATTTTATCATATGAGACATTTGTGTGAAATTCTGTGACGATTAGTCTTGAGTTATTGCCAAAAAATGTTTCCGAGGTCACGGTGACCTTGACCTTTGACCCTGAACATCTAATGAGTTCATGCTTGTAGAGTCCAAGTGGATGTTTGTGCCAAATTTCAGGAAATTCCTTCGAGGCCTTCTTGAGATACAGTGTTCAAGAGAATGAGACAAATGCAAAGTCAAGGTGACCTTGACCTTTGACCACCAGAATCTAATGAGTTTATTGTTGAGTCCAAGTGGATGTTTGTGCCAAATTTGAAGAGATTTCCTACTAATATATAAAAACCAGAAATTCGAGTAATGTCTCTGATTTAAATCTGTTTCAATAAAGAACTGCTTCTCTCTGCAGATGAAGCAAATACAGGCTACAATATTAATTGAGAGTTTACGCCGTGAGAAATGAAGACTACACATCAGCGTTTACTGTAGAGCCTAAAAGCTTTCGCTCTGATGGATGAGAAAAGCTTTGATGGATAGTGACAGATAGAGACATGATTAAGAGATCTGGCATTCATCTTGTGTCTAATTTCTCAAATGAGGCTGTTTATCAACCCGAATAAAAACTCTGCTCAACAAAAACAACAAATATTGAAATTGACTCTCTGTGTTGTGTCTATTTACACTTCAGAGTTCAGCGGCACACAGAGCTGCACACCTGAGCTCCTCACTGGGAGAAGAATCCCCCCTGGGTGAACCCGCCTGCTGGTTTTCATGTCAGAGCAGATTTTGAGGTGGTGGAGAGAGGAGAGAGGGAAGAGAGGGGGGGATCGGAGGGAGTAAATATGTGGAGCTGAGAGTTGAAAACAGCAGAGCTGAGGCTTAGGCAACACAAACCAGAGTGTGTCAAAATATTGCTACAGTACTTGAAGGCATCAGGGGCTGCTTCAAGTGAGGAAATAATCCAGGAGCCATGCAGCTATCTGGATTACTCACTGCTGTCTGAGATACATCATCATGTCCTGTCTAATAAACATCACGTCCTAACAATACAGCAAAGTCCTTCATTTTAAAGTAGAACAACAACAAATATATATTTAAAAACGATACAATCAGTTTGAGGATTTAGTGCTACAGATTTTGTTCATCACCTCTAAAGCCAGCTAGCTTATAAGACCCTGGATTCGTCCCGTGCCAATGTTTTTACAATACTGGAACTTGCTTTCTATAATACAGTAATTGCACATTGTCAACTATGATATGATTTAAGATCGGTAACAATTGTGGTGACCACTAATACGTCAATCACAGGTCTGTAACAGGACACAAACTTCGGTCCCCTGCATTCAAAGTCAGATGTTCTACACAAGCATCCACCATAAAACGTCCACACCCTTATGCCGCATTCACATGGAATCTGGAATCAGGCAGGCAGCAGGCAGGAGACATCTGCTGAACAGAACAGGAGAAATAAACAAGCGGTCTGATGGAACGGCACAACGGCAAAATGAGACACATGTGACTTATGACACGTGATTGTTGCTATGGCGATCTTTTTTGCTACAGACTCGGTCTATGGGATACAGAGAGCTAACATTAGCCAGATAGCTCGCTAAGATAATAAAGCAAATCATAACATTACGTTTCATATTACGTACCTGGTATTCCACCCAGCTTTGTGCTAATCACGTCCCATATGTACGCCTTCTTGGTAGGCTTTTAAAGTTTGGTCATATAATTCTGGGTGCTGCCGCACCAAAAGCACTAACTTTTCGTTGTCCAGTCGTTGTTTTCTTTTCTGTTTTGGAACTACGTCACATCTGGTTGAGTATTCCGTGGCCAGTGAACGGTAAAAGTTAAAATATTTTAACTTTGGACTCTGCCAGCCTCGCCCAAGTTTTACCGTCCTTCTCTCGTCCACTAAAATGACATCCGGTTTGCCGTCTGCCGTTTGACTGATTCCATGTGAATGCAGCATTACACCTTGTTTCCACTACGCATGCACTCTATATCTTACACACCTAGCATGCTACCAATGTTAGTTAGCTAAGCATGCTGTCAAACTTTTTACTAAGAAAAATATATATAAACAGCTCTATTACAACCATTAATCTGTCAGTTTATACATTTTCATGCTGACTTCCTGTGGCACAGTCTACCACAAAAAATTCATCATGGAGGTTCTCAACGAATACATACACAGAGCTATGTGGGAATGAGGTGTTATGTTCTAGCTTTATACATTAAGGGCACACTGTTTCCTTCATTGGGACTGAACGTTTACACAGATAACCCAATCGGCAGAAATGATGTTGGCATTGTACATTTCTGCAAACCACAGATACGGTAACCAATTGGTTGTGGAGCAGCAGGGGTACTCACCAACAGGCGAGGGTGTGCTGCCACTGCTGGACGGCTGCTGGATCTGCAGCCTCTGCGGTGACGGTGGCGGCAGCTGCGGCAGGGAGCTGATGATCGACGGGAACAAGAAAGGATACACCCCAGGTGTGTAGCGCCTCATCTGGACCAGTGGAGGACTGCTGCGGGGCTGGGCACGGCTGGCGGTCTTCATCACAGCGATGGGCGAAGGGTGCGCTGAGCACTGAGCAAGCTGAGGCCGCGTGACGCTGGAAGGCCATTGGGTGAACCCTGACTGTGGTTAATGTGTCTGGAGCAGGTGTGGTGCCACCTCAGCACTCCAGAGATGCATGGTGGTGGAGTTTAGTGTCACCCAGATGAACTCAGAGGCTTGTTCCACTAACACTGTAAAACAGACACACATTAACTATGAGTTAGTTACATGTCTGTAGCTCCTCCAACAACAGACGATGAATTAAACTGTATATACTCATGAATAAAAATACAGTCCTTGTCATTCTGATGAGAAACCTATGGGAATATAACAAGTGGTAGCACTGTCAATTTCTATTTGTCTAATGCTCTATTCCTGCCTCTACTGTAGCTTTTACCTCAACGTCTTTTATACTCAGGGGAGCGTCCTCCAGATCAACCACTCATTGGCTTGTTTGAAACCTGGCTGTTCATATTAAATCATAATCCCACCATTTAATTCTTACTTACTGTTTAGTTATTACCGCTATCACTGCCCCTAGACAATTTTAAGAGTACCACACATCCCTTAGCCTAAGTGACTTTAAATTAGCAGCATTAGTTGAGCCTCGTTTCAACAACAAGAAATACAAGAAGTCTACCAATGAAAATGTTCTATTCCTTCCCATTTTTCGTCACCCCTCTGTTGGGGTACCTAACACCCTGATCCAATACCAAAAGGTGGATCTAAGAGCACTACAGTCTATTGAATGGTCAAGAGAGAATCATCACTCTTGCTGAACAAGGACTCAATGCACAATCCAACAATTTTTAAATACGCCATCGAATGGGATAGAGACTGTAAACCCTGGAACCCTGTTCCATGGACAATCGCTTGCATGCAGATGTTCCTCTGCATCGCTGGTAAAAAGGAAATACAGCAAGAGCTGGATAGAGCAGTGAAGAGGCTACTAACAACCCTGCCTACAGTTACTGTCAACAGAAGGAATGCAACACAGGCCTAGGGTTTTGGTACATGTCCATACGGATGGTGTACAGTTCTGAGGGTACTATGTTGAAAGTGTGTGGTGGACACAAGGTTTTGGTCCGTCAGTTGGTCGGAGCACCATTGTGGTCCTGAGTCAAACATCTCAAAAATCATTGGCTGGACTGCCATAAAATTCTACAGACATTCATGGTTTCCAGAGGATGAAGCCTAATGCATTTGGTGATACCTTTACCTTTCTTTTAGCATCATCAGCAGGTCAAAGTTTTCAGTTATCCAGCAAAGTGTTTGCTTGATGGATTGGCACAAAGTAAAAATGGTGCAGACATTTGTAGTTCCCAGATGATGTATCCTCTGTGGTGGTCCTAGGACTTTTCATCTTGCATAAACATTAGGTTTTGGCTCAGAGGGAAATATGTTAACAACCGCTGGATGGATTGCCATAAAATGTGGTACAGACAATCATGTTCCCCACAGGATGAATTAATATAACTACAATGATCCCCTGAAATTTCACATCCATGTTTATTTACCAGCTTTTCTGTGGTTGCTGGGCTTTGCTGTGTATCTTTAGCCTGGAAATCCAGACCCAAATCTAGAAAGATTTAGGGTCTGGCTATGAGTAATGAAAATGGCCCAGCTCGAGGGGCGGCACCAAGCATGCATTTGAAAAAATCACTGCACGCAATTGGATAACACTACGACCAATCAGAAAAATACACGGGGTGACGTATCCAGAGCTCAGCTACCAGCGGAGCTAACTGGTAGATTAGACTCTTGCTGTATCCAGTCGGCAAAACAGCAAAAACATCCTTCTTGCAAAGGAAAGATTTGAGCGCCGTCTTCTGTTCCTCTTTTAGAGAAAAAGCCAAGTCTAACTCGTTCATTGTAGCGGCCAAAGCTGTTTCAAACAACTGGTGTTCATCGTAGCCATCTTGCAATGTTTACTGACTGATTCCAGACTTTGTCGTCGCAGCGCTGTCGTCATCTGTTTAGCTCACCTCTGGCCCGCTTATATCAGATACACCGATGTGATTGGTGCAGCTCGGCTCCAAAGGCATGGGTAATGAGCATCATTACTGATTGCCAGAGTGACTCGCTGAGCAAATTCAAATTGTGCTCTCGCGAGAACTCTGGATTTCCAGGGTAGTGTATCTTGGTGCACAGACCATTTTTGCAGCAGGAATTTTATATCATATACAAATATATATTTATATTTTATTTATTTATTTAGCTACTGGCATAAATGTGTGTGTGTGTCCTTGTACAAATGCACAAGATAAACAAAAAAAGTTGTCTGGCTGGTTTTGATCAGATACAAATATTTGACCTTGCTGCAAAGACAGACTGCTTGTTGATAGAGCAGGGGGTAAAAAAAAAAAAACTAACTCTGTACAGTAACACTACAAGCTTGGTTCAGTAGCTCAAACTGATATTTCCCAGTTTTCAAGGACTCCCCAAGACATTTCTAGCAGAGACACTGTCTTCATAAATCAGATTCACTTCACCTCCAACGTCCACCCCACCTCTCCTCACATCAAGGTGGCTGCTCAGGGTACCGATGAAGATGAGAGGGGTGGAGCTGAGGTGTGATCAGTCCTCCCTGCTGAATTCTGTTTAACAGAGTTATAAACTGCTACAGTATAATGGTGCTCATAACGCTTTAATCTGCAGTCAGGGGAACATTAAAGTGATCTGTAACCACACTTTGTAATTAACGACCACCAGATAGCGTCTTGTAGCTGTGCTGGATGCCACTGAGGAAGGTAGAGACAGAGGAGAGGTGAAAGTAGAGAGGACAGGGACACGGTGTAAAAATATGATCTGTATCTGGGTGTCATGACACTGGAATATAGAATGGGATCTGCTGGCCTACTCTGAAGACTCAGATCTTTGAGTTAGACAGGCGAACATGAAGTCCACACTCTGTTTTCAGGTCATTATAACATTTACTTTGCAGACACTTTTGTCCAAGGCAACTTTTTTTCCAAATGCATACTTAGGGGTCAGCTTGGGGTTCAACGTCTTCCTCAATGATATCTTTACATGTTTTAACCTTTATTTGTTTAGGGAAGTTTTAGAGAGCCCATATCTTTGATCTACATTTAAAAGCGCCAGGCAGCTACTGCTGTGGGAGTGTGAGCTCTGCGCAGGGGACAGCTGGGGAGAGTCCACCCACACACAAACACAGTGACAGAGCTAACTGTTAGCACTACATGGCTAACATTACTTAATGGGCATTAATGAGTTTGACAGCAGAGTCGAGCAGTTTCAGTATCAGTGTGACATGAGTGTGAGAGAAGGTCCTTCAGCACTGCATCTAACCTGTGTAACAGCAGCAACAGAAAGTTTGCTTATCTGCCAGGACTCGAATAAGACACATAAGCGTACACAGTGCTGAAAGAATGAGACTGTGCGTACTTGGCATTAACATGCATCTTGGGTGAGCTGTTTACAAGTGGATATTGCTAAATACAAGTGTAAAAGACCCTCAAGATGCACTGTGATCGGATCACTCAAACACCTTGAGGAGGTCTGAGAGCATTTGACCACAGATCCTTTGTACTGTAAACCCTAATGCATCCTGATGCGTCCCAGACAAGGACAACATTACCAATGCAAGAACTGGTGGTTGTTTTAGTGCCAGCATGCTAACACTCTAACTTGCCCATTTCATGACAAGCTGAATTAAGTGTTGTGTGACCCTGCGTTGTTTTGCCCTATGGAAGGAGACGTGTTAAATTCTGCTGAAAGCAACCTTTCCAGTGGCACCAACACAACCGCTAATGTGACTAGCTAGCATACTGGAGAGCAGCTGGCAAGAGTATGAACATAACTGTGCATGGGGCCCTTTGACTTTCTAGCGGAAGTGAAGTTGGCAGTGACGAAATCTGAACACAAGTCGCCAGCTGGAGACATGCGATAGACACAGATGTGAATGGTGATGTGTCACAGCTGTTCAGTTGGGTTTGGTCACCACGCTAATACCAGGTATAAACAGGCTCAATGTGGCCATATGCAGCCCAGACCATCTCCAAATGTGGTCTGAGCAATCGCAACTCAAAAGATGCATTGTGGACACGTTGGGTGCATTCACACCTGTACTTAGAGCTGTCCACTTGTGATCTAGTCACCAAAGATACATGCTAATACCAGGTGTGAACACGGCCACATTCACATCTGTCTTTGCAACCACTGAGCAGCTCACCAGGAGAAGTTGGGATTAAGGGCCTTGCTCAAGGTAGTAATGAAGGAGGGACAATATCCCCACTAAGATCTATCCACTAGTCTAGGGATGAAACTTTAAAGACATCACTGCCCATGTGGATAGGTGGAACTTGTAGTTAGAACCACCAACTTGCTATTAACTGCCAACCGACAGCTATCCCAGATTGTCATATAAATCGCTTGTAGTAAAGAAGTAAACACCAGGGTATGAAGACTTGTCATGTATATGGAGCAGCAAAATGTCAGTACCAGGTATGGAAAATACAGTAAAATAAGTTCTTGTTCACAACAAAACTTTGGTAAATGTGTTTATTTTCTTGGAGAGAGTTAGATGAAAGGATCGATACCATCCTCAAACACAAAGTATGAAGCTTTTACCAGGTGATAGTTAGCTTAGCTTAGCACAAAGACTGGAAACAGCTTGCCTGGCTCTGTCCAAAAGTGACAAAATCTGCCCACCAGCACCTCCAAAGCTCACTGATTAAGATGTTATATCTCATTTGTTTAATTAATACAAAATCCATCCTTGGTAAAAATGGATATGAAGGCGCTTCATTGTATTCTGTGCATACATAATTGAATAACTGATCAATACTATATTTGCCTTCTCGTCCCTGAGAGACACACTGTACTGTGCACACTGGAGAAGAAGTTTTTTGTTTTGCTGCATGTGCCCTTACTGTGGAGTTTTAGTTGGTAATAGAAATGCAATTCTCACTGCTCCCTGTGTGTAAGGAGTCATTCAGGGTTAGGGCTGGGAGGTTGTCGGGTGTCTCAGTAACACGTTGAAGCTATGGGAGATAAGAGATGCTGCCGCTTCCAGTGGGAGGAGAGCTGTTGCTTGTTTGTCTCCAGCAGTCTTCTCTCCCCTGGGGTTCCCTGCTGTCATACACACATTACTGATTACTGTAACAGTTTAATCAAGAGGGACAGAGGAAACGCACACATCCAGCAACTTCTACTCTCACTCACAGGAGAT